CCTCCTCCTCCTCCTCCGCCCCGCCGCCGCCCCCAGGAGCCCCCCTTTCTCCTCGCCCACCTCCGCCGGGAGCGAGCGCCGCGGCTGTGCGGGAAAGCCATGGGAGGCAAGACCTCGGCACCTGTTCAGCTGAAATCAAGGGCTTACAGTATACTGGGCGGTCTGGCTCGGTGGTAGGAGCGAGCGAAAGGAAGGAGAAGCAAGCGAGAGAAAGTGAGAGAGGATTGGAGCGACTGCCGCTGCCGGGAAAAAAAAAAAAAAAAAAAAAAAAACCCAAGGAAGATAACTGGGAAGGAAAAGGATTTTCATGGCGCAGGCTGCAGAGCTAAGCAAGAAGACTGAAGGTTGCATCTCTGCTCTTACAGTCTCTAACTGTCTAGGTCCAGATAATGAGAGATTGTGTTGAGGATGCTGCTGCTGCTCCCCTGTTCACTGTGGAAGCCATCTCCAAATTAGCCATTACATATGGAAACTGGAGACCAGAATTTTAGAAAAAGGGATTAAGGCGTCTCGTTTTGGGGGGGGTTCTCTCTTTATTTGTTTGGTTTTTCTTGGTTCTTTTCTCTCTTTTTTTTTTCTTTTTCCTTTTTCCTTTTTTTATATTTCAACCAGAACGTTTCCGATTTAAAAGGCAAGCCTCTTCCCGTGTGGTCTTTCTAATTTACACTCTTTTCCGTGGGCTTTCTTACCTCCCTTTTTTGATATCTATCTCTCTATATATACCCATTATATTATTAGTCGGAATTATTATTCTTTTATTTTATTAAACACACACACCCCAAGAATCAGAAGGCGGTTGGGTATTTGTATAATGAAGAATTATGGGGCTCTTTGACAGAGGTGTTCAGATGCTTTTAACCACCGTTGGTGCTTTCGCTGCCTTCAGCCTGATGACCATAGCTGTGGGGACCGACTACTGGCTTTACTCCAGAGGGGTTTGCAAGACTAAAACTGTCAGTGAGAACGAAACCAGCAAAAAGAACGAGGAAGTCATGACCCATTCTGGATTATGGAGAACCTGCTGCCTGGAAGGTATTTGATTCTGGATCTCCCCCCCCCCTTTCCCCTCCCCCCCCCCCCCGTTTCCCCCCCCCCCCCAAATAAATCCCTCCACATTCCACCATTTTCTCACTTCATTCCTTTCACCACAGATCAGGAGCGGTGGGCTCAGTTACTCAGGGCACAGAGGCAAGAAGACAGGCAAAACATTCTCTGCTCCGTTCCCTTCTCCCTTCCTCTTCCCCACACTCCCCCCCTCCCCTTCCCACAAAATTCACTTCCCCCCCTCCAACTGGAATAATGTGTGCATTACAAAAACACTGGGAGACCCTTTCAAACAGCAACTGTGCGGTCTGCCTGTCTTCAGCTTGTTTGTATTGCCTGTGAAAGCAATGCCCAAATGCTGTATTATTGCTGTGCTCCGGCTGTAACCACAGAGTGAAAGAATTGCTCTCTTTGCAAATGGCTTATTTGCAAAGACAAGACCGGGAGCGAGGGGTGATGTGGGGAGGGGGTGAGTGCAAAGCACTTTGCATGCAATTATTGGTTCACTTTAGGAGGGAAAAAGAGAGAAAGGCAAGCAACCCTGTTATGTCCAAAATGCCTCATACAGTAAAGCTAACGATTCCAGTCATCTCGAGCCAGAGTTCAGAGCATTTCGTAATGTCTGTAAGCAACCACATCTCACTGGGCTGGGTGCAGAGGGGTCTAGTTGGCGGCTGATCAGTTTGGTTTGGGGCTGGGATTTTTCCCCCGTTTCTTTGTTGCTGGGGGGGGGTGGGGGTTGTTTGGGGCTTTTTTTTTCTTTTTTTTTTTTTTTAAGATTTATGGTAAAGGCTAAAAATAAACAAGTCTCTGAATGGAAAAATCAGCCTAAGTCTGATGTGGTGAAACTGAACAGCAACTCAGTGACATGTCTGATGGCAGAAGAGACACCGCCGCAGCCAACTTCTGGAATCAGACGTTCCTAAGGGAGGGGGAAAGAAAAGAGGGGCCAGTGATTCGCTTTTAAATATGTGTTGCTCAGTACTGCTATTGGCGTACGTGTGGGCTGGGGAGGTGGTCTTCAGCCTGTGCTGGAGGGATAGGGGCAACCGATGTAAATGCGTGGTTTATGTTACACACGTAGCGAGAAGGAGCGAGCGAGAGCAGAAGAGCACACATTACAGCCTATTGTAAAAGCCCTGTTTATGAATCAGCTCCCAGCCGGAGGGGTGGGCTGCCGGGGGTTTTATGGACATCCAGGGATAATTTCTGCGTCTGTCAGTGTCCACCAGAGCTGGGTGTGCCTGGAGCTCCCCGATAGGAGAGAACGGGGAGCGGGTACCGCAGAACTGGTTTTCTAAGACCGGCACTGGGAGATGGAAGGCAGGGGGGGAGGGGGGAATAAACTATGTATGTTCTGATGTCTCTCACCAAAGCGAGCTAAAGCTGCTGTTTGGAAATGGTTGTGTCCGGGAAGAAGCGCGAATTTCCCCCCTGTTCTTGGTGCAAACGGTTGAGTGATGGCTGGACATGTTTTGAATAGCTAAGTGACTTCATTGAGCGATGGTCTATTTGACGCATACTGCATTTAGTGCCCTTTGTCAACCCAAACTGCTGCCTTTTAACATATCCTGCAGAGGAGCTCTATGCTGAATACTATATGCTGTCTCCACGCCAGAAAATCAATAGCAGTAAATTAATGGGGGATATTTTAAACACACTCGCTCACACGCACGCACACATTTCCTCCAAATAGATAAATATATAGAGGTATATATTAACAAAAAATGAAAAGCCTTTCACACAGCTATTCATTACGACAGGGGAAGGAGACATCTCCTTAATTAAAAATTAATGAGAGAGGGAAGGGGGGGAGGAAAAAAAAAAAAAGGAAGCCCAAACGGAAAGCCATGCGGGGAAGGGAGGCTGTGGGGAAGAACTCCCTTCCTGAGCTGTGTCCCCAGGCTGGAGGGTGGAAGGATGCTGGGGTGGAGGCAGGAGATATGAGGACCCCGGCCGGGAGAGGCAGTGAATTCAGATCATGTCTATCTGCCCAAGGAGCCGTACCCAGAGGGACGCGGTCTGAGGGGGAGGAGGAAGGGGCGGGTGAGGTTTGTCAGATCGGAGGAGCTCGGGGCTCCTTCTCCTTTACATCTGACAGGACCCCACAGGCACTCTGGAGAAGTGGCTTGCACTGCAAAGGAAAGCACCAGGATGCTTCCAATTAAAAGCTCCAAAGTGCCCCCGGCCCCCCTCGATGCTGTGCCGCCAGCCCAATCCCCCTGCCCTCCCTGTTGATGCTCTCCAGCGGGCTCCAACTGCAGCCTTGCATGAGGGGTGTGAAATGCAGCCTGAGCACAAGCTGCATGGCCCTGGCAGCGTGTTCCAGCTGTGTAAATCTTGGGCTGGCCCCTTCCTCCAGCCCCTGGGTGCTGGGCAGAAGCAGCGAGAGTGGGGGGGGTAGGAGGGTGCAATGCACCACACCAGAGCTGAGCCCAGCTCTGAGTTCCTAGCCCGAGGGCACAGGTTGCACCAAAACTTGGATAAAGGCTGGGTAGCAAGAGCATCTCAGCAGAAAGCAAAACCAGCCCTACGGCCACATGCCGAGCAGGGCCTGAGCATGGGTTTTGCTTTGCTGGGGGGGGCGTACGGCACAGGTCTGGCACCGGGATGCCTCCATTTGGCTTCCCGCAGCCCCACAGCCTGCATGGGCTGGTGGCTGGCACGTTCTTGTTCCCAGAACAGCACAGCCAAATATCCCCACCGGCCCCTGGACATCGGGTCTCTTACTATCATGTCTGATCCCCTTAGAGGGGGGGTTTATCTTCTTTCTCAGCAGAAGGAATCAGAAAGGTGTCCCTGGTTGACTCGCTTTCCCTGGTGAAAGCTGCCTGCTGGTGAGCTGGAGGGAGAAGGGTGCAGGAAAAGCTCGTTTCCCCCGTGATACAGAGGGGGGGCAGATTTGTGGAGGGAAGGGCTTGGTCCCAGCAGGCTGTAAAAACAGCAAAACCCTTGGACTCTGCTCACACAGCCTGCCCACGGGGTGGCAAAGACACCTGAGAAAGCGGGTGGGACAGACGGGCTTCTGCTGCCTGGGGTGGGTGTCGGGGCAGGTCTATAGGGTGAGGGGAGGTAGTGAAGGCAGGAGGCTTTGTAACAAGAAAATAATCAGAGAAAGAGCCCAAACTGCCTCCTGCTACTGGTAGGAAGCCTCTGATGAGGTTGCCTTCATTTCTGGGGATGCGGGGGAACACTGGCATTAGTCAACACTGTAGGCTGTCAGAGATGGTGGGCTCCTCGTGTTCAAAATACGGTGCTAAATTGTCTTTTCTCTTCTTGGCCAAGATATCCAGTAGCAAAAATGGACGTGGAGACTCAGTCTCAGGCCGTACACACAGATATGCTGCGGTCAGAATTGCAAGTTCCTCTTAGAGAATTTGGTCCCCGGGCTTTCAATTTTGGGGTTCCTTCTTTTCAGTCATTCTGTTCCCCACAGTGGATTTCAGTCAGGATTTTCAGATCTTTGTATTGCTCCACAAAGGAGTGTCATTTGGGATGTTCCTCCTCTGTCAGGATTTCTTTCCCCCCTTTCTTGTGTCCTACAGAGAGCCCCTGCTCCATGGCGGGGCCAAAGCAGAAAGGTGGTGTCAGTTCCCATTACTGCAGATCACACTTCTGATTTTTTTTCCTCATCTTCCTTGAGATAATCCTTTCTCAGATTTTGGGGTTGCCCAGATGTGTCCCCGGGCCATTCAAAAATCTTTGCCCTTCAAGAAAAATGGCATTTCTCAGCCCTTTAACTGCGTAGGCACAAAACACACACGTACACCAAGCAATTGAGATCTGCAAGCTCATGCCACACATGGATACTGCACCTCTTACAACTTCGAAATGGCTGCGGATCTTCCAGCCTAATTCCTTCTTGGCACCCAATGTTTTAAAAACCACTTTTTATTATGAGTGATGCCTTGTCTAATTCTTTCATTAGCTCCTGTAGATCTCCTGCAGGATCTCAAAAAGTGAGCGACGATGCCTTATCAGGGTCTTACGAAGCAAGCAAATGAAATGTATTTTATATCTGTAGGTTATTAGTTTTGTCATGTTGTCATTATTATTAGGAAAGGGATAGGTCTGGGAGGCTTTTATACCGAGAACGAGGGAGAGAAGAGTCCAGGGCAGGCAGGCATGAGTGATGCGCATGGGGTTAGACATCCCTGTAGATCTGACTGGTGTGAAGGCAAGTAATTGAATGGATGTTGGTGCAGAAAATAATTCCTGCCTAGAGACCCTTCCCAAGGAAAATTAATGAGCTGATCTGTTCCCTTTCCAGCTTGTTATATCTGAGCAGCGCATAAGAGTTAAGTGCAGTTTCAGTGTTTGCAAAAATGAAGAGCTGACAGCAAAGTGAGGCAGGGCACAGGCAGTGGACAAGCTTCTGCCAGACAATTCTGGCGCTGCGTCGCTTCCTCGCACTGCCTTCTCCCACTGCTCTTTGCTCCCAGGGCACCTCTTTCCTTTCACACCCATCTTATGAGTGTTTTTTTCCTTATCTTCCCTCTTACCTTTCCCAATTTCCTTTCTTTTATCCTTCGTTTCTCTCAGCGTCCCTTGTTTTGCGCTGCGGAATTGCCTGCCGTCCTACTTCCAAGGATCCACAAATCTACCGGGGTCCTTTCCCTGACTCTTGCTGTCCTAATCCAGGGGCTTTTCTGAACTCGTAGTGAAAACAGCAGTAGATTAAGTCGGGGTCTCCGTGTCTTCACGGTTCAGGACCGGGAGCAGCCTAGCACAGCCCTGAGATGCAGCAGGAGGCAATGGCCCGGCACAGAGCTGATTGCTGCCGGCATTGCATCTGCCAGGGAGAAGGAGGATGCAGAGCCGGAGAGGCCTTGGATGAAGAGGAAGACAAAGGATTTTAAAAAGTGGGGTGGCAGACGGTGAGGGAGAATGACTCGGGATCCTGGACTTGGGTGGCTTTGGTTTGCAGCTTGAATTCACACCTGACTGTAAGTCACCGAGCAGGCAGGGATTTGAGGGGCTGAGACCTG